GTTCTAGAGCGTACAACTCAAAGGCCATGCAAGCGAGAAGTCAAACTGCAGAAGAGCTCATGAAGGCTAAGCATTATATATATATACACATTATCCTCATAGCGGGGCTATATATTGGGTTGAGGTTGTGGTTATATTGGGATAATGGAAAAACGGAAACTACTGTCTGGGGGTTATATGGAATCTCCTGGGCTGTAAGCAGGCATCGACTAAATCAGCATGTCTCGGGCGAAAGAAAACGACAACGAAGCATGCCCCCCCATCAACTGCATCAGCTGAACACGCCCGCTTTTCCCTGTACATTCGCTAAAGTCTCGGTAAAGTTTAAGGACCATTGGTCCTTATTCCGATGGCCGCACGGGAGATTCCGAGGATCTTGGCAGGATGCCCTGAAGCTCTAAGGCTCTCTACGGCTAAAGCGGATTTGAGTGAGCAAAGGGCGGGTTAAATGCCGTAAAACTCGGGTTACAGATGGTTCTGTGGGATAAAAACGTCCAAAGAGGACCTCTTGATGCGTAGCAATACCTACATCTCGAAAGATATTGCAGTAAAATCCCTGTACTGGCATGCTTTTTGCAACAGCCTCTGTTTCCCCAACGACCCTTCAAGGCCCCAATGAGATCTGAATTGGAGCTACTTATGGTTCGGGCTTTGACGTACATGGGCAGCAGACGCGGCATGAGCGCAAACCTGGCTTGAATGCAGACTAAAATAATACCTAATCTTCATCCAAACTTATTGTTTTGGCTCGCCCTTGGACCTCTCGCACAACGAAAGCTAACAGGAATGCTGAAGTACGTTGTCAGGGATGGAATGTTTACATGTCCTACAATGTCACATCTGAAGGCTTTTGGACCAAGATCTGTCTCTCCACGGTGTTCGGCCAGAGCGAAGTCGGGCGCACAAAATGGCACCGAAAACTGGCTTGCCAAGGGATTCAACTGTTCCAAATAGAAACCCTGGTTAATCTGTAATCAACATCTCATTGCCTAAGCCGAACAATCGCTAAATTCGCTGAGATGTGAATCCTGCAACGTCCTATTTTAAAGGCTTTGATAGGTTTTCGGAAAAGCTGGGACACGACAACAGTCATTGGACAAGTCTGAAAAGCATCGCAATCACATAGAAAGCCAGGACTACCAACAACATAGGTTTCAGCAAATTAGCAGTCCTCATGCTGAAGGCTCTACTTTTGTAGGATTTGTATGAGGAACCCAAATGCAAACCCGTCATCGTGTAAACCTCTGAGGCTCGAATTTGGGGTCATACTACCCTTGGCAACCCAGAAAACACAGGCGCAGGTGACGCGAGCCTTTCCCGAGATCGGCACGGCAAGCTATGAATGCAACGGTTTTGGGTGGATTGTACCTTGTATACGATAGGAACACATACGCATACTTTCGGAATACCATATAATGTGAAGTGAGAAGGAAACTGGCAAGGAAAAATTGTCACGAACGGAAACAGAGCCAGCAAGGCAGCGCAAGGACCCTGAATCGCACAATGCACACCCGGCCCCCCGGAGCCACCAAAAGAAAATCAACACACAGGGACAACAAGAACAAGCCCACCCGCACGGACCAGCGCTAGCGCCCGGTGGTCTTCTGCGAGCAGGACCTCCGCCACGGTGGGGCCTCGTACGTGGGAGGAGCAGGACCGCTGTGCCGGACCAAACAAAAATTGCAACACGTTACACTTTAAGAGCTGCCAGCGAGGATGAGTATGATGCAGCATGACTGCAGATTTTCAAATATCATGCATACGACACACTGCGAAGGACCTGTCTATCACATTGAACGATGCCGACAAAGATTGTAGAGCAGTGACCACCACTTTCCGCTTGACCAAGGCGCAACTTGCGAAAATCACCGAAATGCGCGGCACAAAGACAACAGCAAGGAATGCTTGAGTAGAAAAAATAGACACAAGCTGCCAACACCAGGGAAGCACACACTGCTTCAATCCCAAATCCGGACAGTAGTTTCCAACACACAAAAAACACTTTACAGATGCAATAAGAGGAGAGACGAGTCGAGCAAAGCAGAGGAGAGGAGCAGAGAAGAGAAGAGACAAGAAATGACAAGAGCGGAGAGAGCAAGTAGAGAGAGAAATCAGAAAGACCGAGCGAGCAAAAAGCACAGAGGAAAAAAAGGGAGATCTTGACAAACAACAAGCAAGCAGGAGCAGACAACATGCATGCCGCCGAAGCCTGAGGGCAGTAGACCAAACAAAAGAAACCCGGAGAATCACTGCAGCCGAGTAGATGGTCAATCTCAGGGCTTTATCATCGCTCCTGGCTTTCACCTGTCCAGACCGCCGGCCTGACTCCTGTGAGAATCAGAGGGCAACCAACTCATTGTTCTCGCTTCGGCATCACTGGGCATCAAAAAAAGGGGGGAAGACAGGATGAAAGGGAGATCCCCAAAAGCACACGTTTAGTGGGATGCCGAATAAGTTGAGCAGAGGGGCCTAGAACACAGGAGGGACCTGAAGCCAGGAACGAGAAACGAGAGAAAACAGGGGTCCGATTCGCCTAGTGCGTGCTTAGTTCCAAAAATACGTCTGCTTGTGCAACATGGGGCAGGGGGAGCGCGGGAAGGTCGGTTTGACACGCGCGCTGCTCGGTGAAGCCACCAAGCACAGAAGAAAAACCACAAGCGAAAAACGTTTCAAGCAGTGATGATAAAACCCTACCGCACCTTAAGGCATGTCCTGATGCAGTGCTGAAGGTCTTGGGATAGAAGCAGCATCCCTACGCGAACGGTGGTCCACTCATCGGCGATGCTGGCTTGAAGCCTTCCAACGTTTGTGCACGAAGGATCCCAATACCAAATCTAATGCTCATTGAACATGTTTTGACTGAATGTAGTGTGGCCATTTGAGTTGAAAAAAGATCAATTGCATGGGCTGGCTGTAAAAACCGAGCTCGTTCACTTCCACTTCAACTCCCCAGACCCCCCCAAAGAACGCAGATGTACACGGACCCATGATTATGCCGAAACCCTAAATGCAGAACGTTGACAACAGCGCACTGACATGTGCAGGGAGAGAGGCAGAGAAAACAGAAGACGAGACAGAAACAACACAGAACTCGAAAGAAAAGAGGATGGCGAGGAACGATCCAACGGCAAGGAGAGAACGGGACCTGCACGTGACACGTCCAACGCGACTGACAAGCCAACCCGGCAGGCCAGGGACAAGCCCCCGACGGTCTCCTGGCAAGCAGGACCGCCGCCCACGGTGGGGCCTGAAACGGGAGGCAGGGAGGACGCGGTCTCCTGACAAGCAGGACCGCAATGTCCAGATCAAGGTCGTAGCGGTTGTACGACGGGGCGAAATGTCTGGCACCTAAATATAAAGCCTGGCGAACGCGCCGCACACGGGAAGACCCAACAAGCGATATAGTGGCCGGTGTCGAGCACCCGGTGGTCTCCTGGCAAGCAGGACCTCCGCCAGGTTTTTGTGAAGGAGACGGGGGGCTCCACCGAAGCAATGTGGCAGACTACTGATCCAATAGACGCGGTGTCAGGGGGAGAAGGAGAGGCAAGAGAGAGAAAGGAAAGGAAAGCCCCTAACGGAACAATCATTATCGGCGTTGGTTGGTTGCATAATGGAGGTTGGCAAGGAGTCAGACAACTGAGGACCACACAAAGCAGGCGACAACGAACATTGGCCCCCGATGTGGTCAGGATCAAGGCCATGCCCCTCGGGACTAGAAGGAAGGGAGAGGTCTCCAGAGGATCCCCAACCGTCCCCCCTTCATTGTCCCCTACTGAGACCTGAAAACAAAACTGTGTGCAAGCGGGAGGTTGCCGCTGCCGCGCAGGCACCGTGCAGAAACACTGAAATTTTCATACTGCGCACCCTTCATCAAGGGTGTGGCTTGGCCCCCAGTCTGCGAGCAAACGTTAGCACATCAACAGGTTTTGGGGTTTACCCTGGACGGCCCGAAACCTGGTCACGAGCCTCTCAATATCATAAGCGAGGAGGGCTGCTGCGTAGTCCAGATCTCAGGGCTTTCAACCTCAGAAGCATAGCAGAGGAGGAGAGAGACCCAAAGGGCCTCCAACCGTCCCCCCCTGCTCGGCAAAGCAGCAAGACGGTACACGACTGAGGCTTGTGGCTGCGCACAACAACCTTGAGACCCCCATGCTGTCACAAAACTGCGCACTCCCCTCAAAGAGTATGGCTTGGCCCCTCTCAGGTTATAGTGCCCCTTAAGTAAAGAGAATATCGCGTTGGGTACATTATCATAAGATCCCGTGGGGCTTTCCACGGACCACCTCGCTACTGACGCGACATAGGAACACTTCAAAGAGGCTTGTGGTGTCGGTATTTCTGGTGGAGCTAGTACAAGAAAAGAATTATTCATGGTTTGAAGTGAAGGTAGCAAAAAAAATCTCAGGGCAAAACACCCCCAGACCCCAAACTTCTCAGGAAAAGCAGAGATTGGCCTGTTTCTACGGCCGGGCAGAGTCCGCAACAGCCGCCAGCGGCACACAACAAGGGAGAGGAGGTGCGCGGCTTTGACTCTTTGGAGGTCTAGAACGCAAGACTTGGGATCTTAGCTTGAGATTACCTCGTCGCAACGCGTGAGCTAAGCCATCACCAATTGCTGTTCTATGCGATGATCGGACTCAGAACCACTAGTCTAGTCAAGCAGGACCTCACTGCTGGTGGTGGAGGGTCACAGGCACGAAGATCTTGCGCTTGAAAGAACTTTCACTCATGCGGCCTAATCGCCTGCTCCTAATAGCTGATGACTACCGAGAGTCTCCAAGCACGTAATTTATCTTGGAAATCAAGACTCCTGTGGCACTAAGAACTCCCTGACACGCAACATCTCAGAGCTTGCTGGTACTAAGATGAAACAGTTAATCCAAGATGTGAAGCTAGAAAACAGGAATAACATGAAGTGTTCCCCCCTTTAACAAGATTGTACAAGTACCACTCATCCGCGCTGCACCGCCTCTCCCCATCCCAGGTGCCCCAGGGTTTGATCATCCGACGAGCGACGCACAGGAAGCAGCCTCCTGCATACTCTCCAGCAGGCAAACATGGAACCCTCAAAAATATCCTTATAAAGCGAGGCTATCCTTGCAAGATATGGGAGTTGGCTGGTCCTAAAAAACATTTAGGTGTGGTTAAACCCAAACCCAGCGGATAACACATTTTCCTCAAAGAACATATAATTACAAACTAAAAACAAAAGTTGTTGCTGAGGAGTAGGGGAAGGGATTAGCACTTGCATCCACCTGCAAGGACTTTGCTCCAAACCAAGCAGATGCTAATTGCACATCATAACAGCGACTCCAATATCACTCCAAACAAGATGCCACTCCATTTCGGGGTTTCCCAAAACAAGGGGCACATATTGATTGTGGACTGCGCGGGCCTAAACTTTTACTAGTATCAAATATAGGTTTAGGGTATTGTAGGGCGCACGGGTCAGGGTTCAGTTAGCTTGTAGGGATTCAGTCAGTTTGGAGGTTTAAAGTTTAGGATTAAGGGAGCTGGGGCCTAAGATGCCATTCTTGCACAAGGATTATGAGACAACCTATCACATTCGAGAGATTTCCACTTGACTTGGAGATTTGCGGACACAGCGTAAAGGTTATGAGGGGTTAGGAGGGATATGGCGGTTTCCCAAAATTAAGGGTACCTTTTTGGGGGGCCCAAAAATGAGGACTATAGCATATTGGGGTCTATATTGGGTTCCCCCTGTTTTGGAGAACTACCATATGTAGAGTTGCCAAGTCATCGGAGTTCTCCGGCCAGAGGTATCTGCGAAGAGGCTGAGAGATTCAGGGGCTAAGTTTACCCAGTCGTAAAAGCTTCTCCATCCCATTTTGACTAGTGGGCCACGAGGGCACGTTTCCAGCACTCAAGTTTGGGCATCAGAATGTAGACCCACAATTAATAAACCCCCTACCCTTAACAGGGATCATAATAGGGATCCCAATATTAAGGCCCTTAAGAGGAGGGCGTTTAGCAATCACAGGCCTACATTTATTAAGCAGCACAACCAGTTGCGCCTTCGGATGGTCAAATAAATTTCTTGTAACATGGACAGCCTAGAGATATTGAGCATGTAAGTTGATTCCTAATAAGGCAAATGGTAGTTTCCCAAATTAGGGCACCTCAATATAAACCCCCAATACTATAGTCCTAAGCCCTAAACCCTAGACCCTAAACCCTAAGCCCTAAACCGTAAACCCCTAAAGCCTACAGTCCTAGAAACCCTGAGGGTCCTTCAGGCCCCCCCGTCTTCGGGTTGTGGCAAAGTCATCAGTGGCAAACCAGGCCAGGAAGAGCTGATAGGAAAGGATAGCTGACCTTCTCCAAGATTTGGGAGTTTCCCAAAACAAGGGGTACCCCTATATGGACCCAAATTAGGGGTACCTTTAAAGGGGTTCATAGAAAATATATACAGGGGTTCTATAGGGATATATAGGGTTTAGGGTTTAGGTTTAAGGCTTCCCAAAACCTTTGTAATAAGGATTATGTTATTTCGGGGTCTGTATGAGAGTCCCCCTATTTCAGGAAAGTACCATTTAGGGTTAAGGGTTTAGGGTTTAGGATTAGGAAGGCTGCTGACCTTCTCCAAGATCTAGTGCTTGCAGTCTAGGATACAGAGTTCAGGGGCTTGTGGTAAAGGACTTTGAGTCTAAGAGTCTAAGCCTTCGAGTGTTGGCGTAGGGCTTGGCTTTTACGATCATGACAACTACCAAATTTACAACATACGCTAGATCTTGAATCTTGAATGTTGGACAAGGTCCCCCGTTTTCAATTTCAGTTTTCATGTGATTCTCCGTTACTCGGGTAGTATCCCTAGACCCCAAATAGTTCCTATATAATAGCACAATCGAAACTGCTCATTGGGCTTACCGCTAACGTGCTGCTGCAAGCCCCTCCCACGCGCTCGAGTCTTTGTTCGGAATATCCTGGCATGATGCAGAAACCTGATCAAATCTGAAAACCCGCACGAGCAATCAATGGGCATCATCTTTTTCTTCATCCATTGCCCCTTTCTGCCCTTGCAGCCTTACGAATGTCGCTAGCAATCTCCGTCGCAGAGAAAGAAACCTACAACCTGAAACTGCAAAAAACTTCCGCACAAAATTCATGAGTCCTTAACACTGAACGCATCGGCCCCTATGCAAGGCTAGCACATTTAGAAAAACAGTGGCCATGAATTTGGGCTGGGCAGTCGGGCTCCTAGCACAGTCCGTGATATTCGAAGAATCCTCAATGATAACTACCCCTCCCCCAACCCCTTACCATTAAAATCTATTGGTATGTGGAATATTCACTTCAAAGCGTCGCAGGGGCAAGTGTCTCGGCTTTCGGTTTACTTCCTATCAGCTGGGCGCGGGACACTTCGCAAAGGCCGAAGAGGCGCCTTGAGGGTCCAGGGCTTAGGGCTTCGAGCTTTGGGTTCAGCACAGGTCACCAGGAAGGATGTTCATCCCGCAGGAGACCTGCATGGGGAAGAACCGGCAGCTTCTAGTACTGGACGAATAGGTGAGTCTTACGTTTTGTGGGAGTCGCTGCAAGACGTTTCAACAGCTAACCCTCCGTGCACCCAAAGAGTTGGCTTCGTAGCAGGCTTCCAAAATTCTTTAAAGCTTCACGTTCGGGACTTAAGGAAGCAACACACGCCTGCACAAGCGTACGGACTTCCCAGGAATAGTTAGGTCTTGCCTCATTTCTACCCCAAAAGCGCCCAGCCTGAAGAGACGACCTCAAACCTTGAAAACTTCGTTACTTTTCGCATCTTTTCGCGAGCCGCCACACATGCATTGCAGTGCAAGTAAAAATTCTAGTCCCTAGAAGAACCATCCAGAGCCAATGTAGCTGGGAACGTGCGCTAGACTTGAAACTCCCACCCAAATCGAACCCACGCATGTTAGAGAATGGCTTAGCTTAAGGTATTTAGGGGTTTAGGGTTCATAAGCTCTCGAGGGAATGGTCAAGAGTGAAGACTACATGGAGCCCCAGATGGATAACGTCAGACAGCTGAGCGAGGCGCCCTGTCACATCCAACCAGGCAAAGTGATGCACGGCAGCCTTTGCAGCCGCTGTGGGTTGCCCTCACTACCTGTGTCCTTGTTGCTTTGACTGCTTTTTGCAATATTACCCTTTCGGCCTGTAGTGCCACTGTCCATGTTGGAGTTTTTCTTAACTGGCTCGGCTCGGGGAAAGTTCAGGCTGGAAGCTCTGAACCAATATGCATCTCAGGGCCTCAGGATGTGCTACGAAGTGTCCCTTTTGGGGCAATTGACATTGAACCCGTCTAGTCGCTTACAATGACCGGAACTAAGAACCAAGATGACATTCAGCCCTTGGTGGGGGAGACAAGCGCTTCCTGAGTCTCAGGTTAGCCTTATTGAGGGAGGAAGTGCCAACGCTCGTTTCGCATGCGGGCCTCAGCATCATCTTGGTGTGAAAAACCACACCAGGCAGAAGATGGCACAAGCACAGGAATTCAAAACTCTGCACGCAAAACCGAGTGTACTGCCGTCGTCGGCAAAACAAAGTGCAGCGCAATGATGCACCACGCCTCCAACAAGGAAGTTGCACAGATGCCGAAGCGGATGGCAATCACTCTCCCTTTCCATTATTCAATTCAATGATGCTTAGCCACATGCCTCAGACCTCTGAACTAATGAGGCAACAACTACTTTGCAAGATGCTGGAACTCGCCTTGCAAGACCTGCGCTGAAAACACAAAGTATTCAGGAGGAGCTTCGAGGTCGAAAGTCTTGCAAGGCCTAAGAGGATTTGTTCTGGTGTTTGATGGACGGAAGCCCGTTTTCCTTGCGACAGGGTTCGCCACCAAAAGTACCGAGCAACATGACATGTTCTCGTCCTGACAATGACATCATGACAAAAGTATCTAATTCCTGCTGGTACTTTACTGGTGGTTAGTAGGGAATAGGGGGAAATAATCCCTATACTAGAAGCACTACATGATATCTTCCCTTATTCCCTACTGACCCTAAACCCTCTGCCATATTCCCTCTTCCCTACTAACTTCCAGTAAAGTACACCGCCAATTTCACGCACCTTGAAACGGAGTCGTGCGTGCCTGAGCTGACACTGGCTTCGAGACTAGGGCTTAAGCTTCAGGGTTTAGACCATCACGGTGGGACCAGGTGGCTGAACGTGGTGATATAGGGGTTATATACGGGGTTTGATAGGCTTGTATAGGGGTTTAAGAAAATGTGTGTTCGTATATATATATATATAATTTATAGGGGTTATATAAGGCTTTATCAGGACTATAAAACCCTATATAACCCCTGTAATTACAAGGGTTTATATAGGCTTGTATAAGGATTGTAGAAGGATTCTAAAGATTGCATGTTGCCCAACATGCTGGCCAAACACATCCAGCTGCAGCTGGCGGCCGAAGAACCATGCCAGCAACGCAGAGACTGAGCTAAGAAGATCCTCCCAGCCCCACATAAGTATTATGACAGTTGAGATACTAATATTAGTATGAGTATTAGTATTAGTATTAGTATTCGTATTGGTCTTAATATTCGTACTAGTATGAGTATAGTAGTAGTAGTAGTATTAGTATTAGTATTGATATTAATATTATAGCATTAGTATTAATATTAATATTAATATTATTGCTATTAATGCTGCTATTAGTACTGTTTTTTATATATTATTATGATTATTTAGGTACCAAGCCCAGGTACCGCTGAGCCCACTGTCCCAGCTCATCGTCCTGTTGAATCGAACAAACTCTCTAGACATTTGGGACATGTCAATGCAAATGGAACAAACAGGGAGCATGTGGGATTGCTTCGGCATCCTGCCAAAATCATGCAGAAACCGTCGTTCAGGCCCTCAGCGCTCCACAAAAACTTGCAATCTCCAAGAGAATCTCCAAGACCCTCCCATATTCACCCAGACCACATCTCAAAAGAAACGCTCCAAAGTTCCGCAAAGCAAAAGATTCTGCAATGACAGATCGTCATGACCACTCGCAGACAAGCCCTCCTCTCGAAGCTGCCAACCAAAGAGAAAAAGAAACTGCTGAGCCCCAATAGCAACTTGCTGAGGAGGTTACTGAAGCACAATGGTTTACTAGACAGGCAAGACCCAGATTTCAGTCTTCATGAGCTGAAAGATGAATGCCCTGCAACCCATTGAGATCTTCACAACCTTAAACAAAAGCCCACCTCATCCCCTGCGGCAGCAGAGAGCGGCATGTTCGCCTAGGAAAAGGCCGCTGCCTATGACAAACAAATACAAACCATTATGGTCAATTGTGCGGGAACTACTGCTGCCCTTCTGTGTTTGACATCCGAGGGATATGCTACACAGTCACAAGCAAGAAACATCATGACTGCGGACATGGACTGATTTGTGCTAGGCTGCCAATACAGTATCCTGTTGCACTGTTGCATGCACAATTCCCACTTGCACAGCACGGCACGTAGCAGAGCACCCCAGAAACCATTGATGCGACCACCAGAGCCGTGCAGCCGTAGTGCATCAGAGGACCTGACTGGCTCAAGGCTTTGCTCTGTGTCTCCTCAGGAAAACGGCCATCTTCACTGCAAGGCTTTCAGCGGAAAGCCCATCGATCATTGGGCACCAACATGATACCGCCAGGGTATCGCGCAATCCCATGATACAGACCGCGGGCTCAACACAAACATGCTATCTGGAACTATCTGAAAAGAATTGCTGAATTCTGGGTTTTTCAATTTCGGACAGCTTGGAACTACTCGAACGAGGATGGACTCCACAGGATCACCTACAACCTTCTCAATCAATGTGGTTGGCAACAACAAGTGACGTCATTTTTCGTTTTGCACACTGATTTACCTGCCTCATTGCCTCATCGGTTTTCACACGTGGGTATGCACACAACGTCGATGTGCTCGCATGGAACTGAAAGTGCGCACCCACATATACGCGCACACACACATGCCATCACATGCCCAAAACGCCTGTCCTGCCGCCACAACAAAGGCACAAACCTGTGTCTGCACCATCAAGTGTGTGTGCTTGCAAACTTGCACGCATGTTTCTGCCCACGTTCCGCTGGTGCTCGACACATGTCGCATGAAGCTTCCAACATTTACATGTCTGGACACGTACATGCGGCTGCAGCAAAAACACGGCTGCAGCAAAAACATGCCCATGTGCATGTGCAAAATGATGAATGTTTGTGGGTCAACAAAAAGGGGCCTGTCTGAGCAACATGAGTGCACACACACACACAGACATGCATGATCATGCAATGCGGACATGCCCACAGAAGAACACATGCAAATGCCAACACGCACAGGCTTCGTGAATACCTTGCAATATGTTCAGGTGCATGGGTGATGGTCTACACTCACAAGTGACGGCGTGTGATAACAAAGGCGTGTCTGCGCAAACCAACAACTCTGTCCGCACACATACATGCATAGTGCCAACGCACGCACGTGCATGCGAGGGCACACATTAACATGCCCAGGCACACTTGAAAATGTTTGTGCTCACACATCCATATCCTAACACATGTACATGTGCCGGCGTGTGCCTGTGCAAGCATGGTTGTGTGCTCGCACACATACGAACGTGTGCGTGACCAACATGGGCGAACATGAACTTGCCAATGGGCACACATGTATCAATGAATGCTCACGCACACACGTCTATCCACAAAAAAAATGTTTTGCTCACACATGCATGTGCTTGCACACATACACGCGCGGTTGCGCGCCCATGAACATGTATAAGGTCAACGCGCACTTGTACATCTATGAGCGCACACCAACATGCATATACACATGTAAATGTTTGTGCTCACACCTACACGTCCTTGCACACGTAATGCGCTTGCGTGTGGCCGTGCGAACATACCCATGTGTCTGCACACATACACATGTCTGTTCGTGACTCAACATGTGTGTCTTCACACATATGATTTTTTTGAACAATGGGGCCAACGGGAGCAAATGCATCCCTGTGCAAACATATCCGTGCATCTGCAAACATACGCATGTTTGCGTCGAACAACAAATGTGCCCGCACACATACATGTTTGTGTAATATGGAGAAACATGAAATTGCAAACGTGCACACATGTATCACTGGATGAACACACACATGTCTATGCACACGTGGAAATGTTTTTGCTCACACATACACGTAATGTGTTTGCATGTGGACGTGCTAACATACCCATGTGTCTGCACACATGCACGTGTGTGTTCGTCACCCAACACGCGTGCCATCACACATGCGTGTTTTTTCACAATGGGGGAACATAAAAATGCGAACAGGAACAAATGCTTCGTGCCTGTGCACACATATCCGTGTGTCTGGAAACATACACATGTTTGCGTCGAACAACAAATGCGCCCGCACACATGCATGTTTTTGGGCGAACATGAAATTGCGAACGTGCACACATGCATCACTGGACACACACACATGTCTATGCACATGTGCAAATGTTTTTGCTCACACATGCATGTGCTTGCACACATACATGCACGGTTGCGAGCCCATATACATGTATCCGCCCATGTCGCAACAACAAAACATGCCAAGGTCAACTCCTACATTTACATACACCAAATGATTTGGTTCACACATACACATCCTTGCACACGTGATGTGTTTGCATGTGGACGTGCTAACATACCCATGTGTCTGCACACATGCACGTGTGTGTTCGTCACCCAACACACGTGCCTCCACACATGCGTGTTTTTTTTTTACAATGGGGGAACATGAAAATGCGAACGGGAGCAAATAAATCCATGCCTGTGTGGACACACATCCGTGTTTTTGCAAACATACACATGTTTGCATCGAACAATAAATGTGTCCCGCATGCATGTTTTTGTGCCATGGAGAAACATGAAATTGCAAACGTGCACACACGTATCACTGGACGAACACACACATGTCTATGCACACGTGGAAATGTTTTTGCTCACACATACACGTAATGTGTTTGCATGTGGACGTGCTAACATACCATGTGTCTGCACACATACACATGTGTGTTCGTCACCCAACACGCGTGCCTTCACACATGCGTGTTTTTTCACAATGGGGGAACATGAAAATGCGAACAGGGACAAATGCTTCGTCCCTGTGCACACATATCCGTGTGTCTGGAAACATACACATGCTTGCGTCGAACAACAAATGCGCCCGCACACATGCATGTCTTTGGGCGAACATGAAATTGCGAACGTGCACACATGCATCACTGGACACACACACATGTCTATGCACACGTGCAAACGTTTCTGCTCACACATGCATGTGCTTGCACACATACATGTGCGGCTGCACGCCCATAATATGTATACACCCATGTCACAAAAACAGAACATGCAAAGGTCAACGCGCACGAGCACATCTATGGGCGCACACCACCATGTATATACACATGAATATGTTTAGGCTCACACATACACGTCCTTGCACACGTAATGTGTTTGCATGTGGACGTGCTAACATACCATGTGTCTGCACACATATACATGAGTGTTAGCCACCCACCAGTACACGCTTCACAAGGGGTACTATGAGGATGCCAACGGGATGCATCCGTGCATGTGCAAACATGTCCATGTGCTTGCACGCGTACACATGTGTGCGCGTCAACCAACAAATGCGCCCGCACACATGCATGTTTTTGTAACATGGGCAAACACATGCCAACAGGAAGATGGTAATGTGCATACATGTATGCATGGGCGCGCGCAAACATTTGTATGCGCAAATGAAAAATTTACCCCCACACATGAAAATGAGCATGGACACGTACATTGCTTCTGTCAAACTACATGTGTTCTCACACATGCGCAAATGTGTTTGGCAAACATCAAATACACCCGTACACTGGCATGCTTCTGCTTCGTAAATTTTGTAACACGGGTGAACATGAAGATGCTAACGTCTCCACATGCATCGATGGCACAAACTTGTCTATGCGCGTGCGTGAACACTCGTACATGCACTTCTATGTACACCTATGTGTCTGGGCGTTGATATTCGTGTGTCTGCAGACATACATGCATGTGCCCATGAAATCACATCATCATGCATCAACCTGTCTGACATCGTGTAGCACAAGGATAGCAAAACAAGAATATGCAAATGCCGACATATCTGTGTGGGCGCACAGACACGCATGCAAAAGTGCTGGCACACAGCTATGTTTGCGCAAACACACATATGTGTACAATGATGCACGTGTTCTTGCGCAAGCACGAATGCAGATGCCCGCGTAGGCCGCCGACGTTACAGGTGCACATGTGAGCATGGTATGCATATGCGCTGGCATTGTTTGGTGGGGATGTGGGCCAAAAATGCATGCATGTGTGTGGACACACCGGTATATTTGCACAGATGCATGTCGGTTTGCAAAGCCGCCATGTGCACGTATAAGCCTAGACTCTTATGCATAACTTTTGAACATGTTTGCGCCCCCACGGATGCACCTGCACGCGTGCGCCCACATTGCGTATACTTTGCACAAAACATACCTGTGTGTCTGCCGGTGCGCACGCATGGCCGCGCGAATATGCAGGTGTCTGCGCTCGAGAATATGTGTGATTGCACGAACGCACGCTCATGTGACCTTAGTGCATGCTCATGTTACCTTCTCATACAAGCCAAAAGCAACATGCCTACGTGAGCACAGAAATTCGCAACCGCACACAACAGCGCTTCTTTGTCGACACGTATACGCCCTCACTGTGTTCGCACTGTTTGCACAGATACATGCATGGTCACCGCCTACAGACATGCGTCTGCACCAGAAACTATGCGTGCCAGCACAATCCCGCACACATACGCAAATCTTCATGCAAACACATAGCCGCGCACACAAACTTGTCTATGGGCACATCTACACACGCTTACGCTCGCACATGCAAGTTTTTGCACACGTACATGTGTCTGTGCAAGCATGCCCATATGTGTTTGCGCACGTACATGCATGGTTGCGCATCCACACACATGTGTGAGGCAAAAAACATGGTGCGTGCACACATGCATGCATGCTCATGCGCACGCACACACACGTGTTCAGTTCGGGGGTGGGAAACGCAAAATGCAATCATGCGCACATGCATCGATGGTGCACACCAGCACACCAGCATGCCTGTGTGCGCGTGGAAGTCTCAGAGCTCACAAGTACATGCACGCTTGTTGAACCATAGACATAGGCGCATGTTCCTTTCACACATATAAACGCAATCCCCACCCACAGGCTTTATGCATATGCTTGAGCAAAGCTATACGTCAGGAAAACCTGAAACATACCAGACAGGCAGAAGGACATTTTCGCACACTTTACAACTTTACAGCATCAGTTTTGCCAGAACATGTTTTTGGGACGGGTTTTTGAAGGCCGTCCCAATTCAAGATTGCTTAAATGTCACAAGCTTTTCATGGGGCCACTCACAGGCCTGGAACGAAGCATCATCTCTGGTCTCAAGATCGTCAAGCTTCTTACCAAACCCTACATAGTTTGGGTACTGCTCCCACCCAGTGACAGTCTATATTAGGGGTCCTATTAAGGGCTATAGAGTGGGGGCAGTATCCAATACATAGTCTCCATTGCATGTTCCCCGCTCCTTTCCATTTGATTCTCCATTATTGGGGTAACATCAACCCACCCCCTTTGCCATGGTGCTCCAATGACCCAGGACATTTCACCAAGGCGCGTTCCAGGTTGAAAGGCACCTCGCTTTGCTTGCTGCAGGTTATGTAGTGGTATATAGTGGAGTAGTGGATTATATAGAGGCATATAGGGCTTATCTAGGGATAATGGAAAAGAAAATGGAAGCTACTATTTAGGGTATAGGGTGTTGGGGTTTACTTACTGGGGGTTACTAGGGAATAAGGGAAGAAAATATATAGGGATTGTACAAGGAGTACATTCCCTTATTCCCTACTGACCACCCGTAAGTTTAGGAGGTTTAGGGCATTAGGGTTTAGATCTCGCTTTTCCGTCTAGGGCTAGGGTTTAGGGTTTGAGGCTCTTGCAACGAGATCCTGAGTGTCAAGGTTTACGTGGATGCGGTGCGGCATGCCCTTCAACTAGCTTTTGGCGCTTGCCGAAAACCTGACTAATTCACATGCACAAGAGACGTGCCCCTGGAAGCTCAAACATAAAGATATCCTGACTTTTTGCAACCCTCCAAAAAACCAAGATCCTGAAACAGACAATCTGGACACCATCAAGATGAGCTAACGTTCAATTCCCAGTTGCGGCCCCAAGCACAGTCCAAACCCCGCAACATGCCAGGCTCAAACAGCCCACCCTACACGCCTAAGCTCTCCCCCACTTGGTGTATCCGAAAATTCAGTGCTTCTATAGCAATCCTGATTCTTGGAGGCACCAGAAGCAGCACTCCAGGGAAGGCCACGTCCATGAGCCGGGAGTAGATGGACAGACACTGCATTGAGCGCTGCACCTGGGTGATGCTACTGTTGGCTTTAAACCCGTATTAGTGGTATTATCGTCAGTACTAATATGATTCAGGCTTCTCCCTAGATACCATAAGCCTTGAGAAATATGGAAGCTGGGTCTACTTCGGTCATGTAGGACGTTCAATTTCGACAATAGTGAAGCCTGAGCCTGTAATAGCAAAGACCATTGCGAATGTGTCTATTCCAATCATAAGGACTACACCCTAAACCCTAAAAAATAATTCCCATTTTCTTTTCCATTATCACTATATTAACCCCACATAATGCAAGCCGCTTCAAGAAAGCAATCACTGAGGCTTGGGGTTTGCAGATCTTGTTCTTCAGGGTCTCAAGGTTCAAGGGATACCAGCTCTTCCCCAGGTTTGGACCTGAGGTGACTGTAGCCTGCTAAGGTTGGGACCTCCTGCTTAGTAAGCTGCGAATCATTACGACATGAACACACACTAAGACGTTACCCGGACACACACACACACACACCCAAGAGCACAAGAACGCTTGATCAAGCTCGTGCAAGAACCCTAGCATGATTCGTTTGAAGCCTGTTCCAACTCAAATGTCATCAACACTGCATCCACATCTGCATGCTTCACTTGCCCTCCCACCCACGTTACAAAATCAAGGTGCACCGGATGCAAGGTCCAATGCAGTTGAGCATTGAATATTGTTCACAGCAACCATGGATGCTAAGGCACTGCAGCCACCTGGCTCTCTGCTGGGGTGCGGTCCTCAGAGGGACACTTCCAGCATTGACGCGTGAAAAGGCATGAGAGGGCTATTTATGTGCCCGTCCCTTTCAGTAACGCAAGGGACAGATCACGAAACTTGTAGAACACCACAGCTCCTAAGATGGGACATCTTATGAACGAAGGGCGCTTCTTGAACCCTCAGCTGAAGGAAGATGAAGACCTGCATCAAATTTGTGTAGGCCACGGCTGCCTTCAAGCAAAGACGGGTGGCATCCCTTCCACTATCACTACTACTCCTCCTAGACTCCCGGTATTCCCCTTAATGCCCCCTATAACACTCCCTCTATAATCCCAGATATATATACATATACAGGAGATATGTAGATATATGGTAGTTTCCCTAAATAGGGGGACCCCAGAAATGGTACCCCTAATTTTGGGAAACCCCAACCCCTATATAATCCCCTATATATCCCAGTTTCCATTTCATTTTCCATTTTCTTTTCCATTTGATTCTCCATTATAGTAAGCCTAAACCCATATATATATATATATAGGAGCAGTAGGCACTTCTCCTCAACCCAGAGCTTGAGCCGAGGAGCACCGCGCAGCCGAGCCTCTAACAGTTGCGTGAGCCGCCTGTCGTGAAACTTCTCTCTCCCCAGTAGCATATGATAATATATTATAGTATATTACAATAAATTATAATATATTATACTATATTAAAGTATACTAAAATTATTTTGTAGTATATTATAGTATATTATAATGGATTATAATATATCCTAATATATTATAATACATTATAGTATATCATAGGACTCAACTGATGATGGGCTATTGGGCTTAGGCTTGGCGGGGCTTGAGGAGTTGTGAATACGGATCATGGCTTGAAAGTGCATCGCTCAAGCAAAATCAGCATGTATTGCAGGGATGAGCCTCTGGGGGTCGAAGGGTTTGTTAGTCCTTGCAATTCTGCCTCCCACTGCCAAGGGGAACGAAGCTTCTGCTGATTTGTGAGAGTTGTACAAACTTCTGGCTTGTGGGGCTTAGGATGTTAATCTCTTCAATGTTAATGTCGGGTTTCAGGATACGAGATTTCAGCCAATTTCTTGCAAGTCTCCCAGTTCCATGAGAAAGGCCGATACAAGGCCTGTTCTAACGGGGGACATGATAATTTATGATTGCGCGTCAAGCTCGTCTTCTGCTGTGGTGGCTTTCAAACAGGCGATGTGGAAGAAGGAAACACTGAACGCAGGAGCTACCAAAGCCTGCACTCAGCCACGAATGCCAGGCTATCCACCATCCTGTTCTGCACGTCCAATTTGAAAATTACGACCACTGAACCCTTACTTTGCGAATGGTTCTGCAGTGACTTTCCACATAAGCAACTTCCCGCTCCCCGAAAGGATGGTGGTAGTCTAAACTTGGAGATCCACGTAGAGCAGCGCCCACCTGTCCACAAAGTCCATTCATCTACCCCACACCTCCCTTCCACCAATCTTCCCAGGCCTCACACGGTGGTGCTCCACCATAGTTAGGCAGGCCGCCACCAGGGCACCAATCTGAGGAGGAGGGTGAGGGGCTTCAGCTTCATGGGACTCAAATGACTATTACATGCTATTACCACAACCATTACTAATGTCACTACTACTGTTACCACTGTAATTTCTTCTACCAATACACAAAGAAAAGCGGTCAGGGTAGTTCTTGACGCTGTACTGGGCTGTCATAGGTACAGGTCTCGGGCCTGCAAGTTAAGCAACACCACTATAAACTGACGACTAGCTACACAAGAAATGGGCAGGGTGAACAATGGGTCCAGAACCCAGCGCCTTGACAGGCAACAGAATTAAGCACACGAAGGCACGCAACTGCATCCCACGAAAGAAATTTGACCTAATGTAAAGGGCCTTATGCACTACAGCATTGCTTCAGACAATAGAGGGACACTGTTGGGATCCATCACTCTTATCCTTACCCACCACCAGTAGGTCCCTCTTCAACGGTTTCAACCAAGCGGCAAAGGCGAAAATGGTCAGGTTCTGGCCACGAAGCATGGCATGCGAGAAGGTGTAACCTGGCAGAGGCCCTTTGCTGAACAAACTGGGTTGCTGTTAAGGAACTTAATTTAAGTTGCTATATTGGGGACACCATATCATTTAATAAAATCTACACCCATTATGGTAACTTAATCTAAGTTCCTTAACAGCAACCCAGCAAAAGGAGCAACCTGAGTAGGTTGTAGAATGTTGTAGAGAACTTCAATCATACTTGTGAGGTTTGATCAGATTGTCTGCTTGTGAACCCCAACCAAACGAATGCCCTGCTTATGACGTGCAACAACCGGGTGAGCACAAGACAGGCTTCGCGCATTCCATCCAAAGCCGGTGAAGCAAACGAATTTGAACTGTGTGGGCAGGAAATGGTTTGGGCAGCTTAAATGCTCATGATAAAGCTCTCACTCTTCCTCCAGCTCCAACCTCGACGCTAAGAACCGAAATCCTGAACCGGGAACCCTGAGCCCTAAACCCTGGTTCCTCAAAGCTAGCACAACCCTGAAGTCCTCAACCCGGAGCCTTAAGCCCTCAACCCTACTCCCCTGCGTCTTAGGGGCGATGGAAGCAGTCGGCCAGGTCAAGCCAAGGCAAGGAGCTCCGGTACTCACCTGCAGCTTCCAAGAAATGGGATGCCCTTTTGTGAGAATCCCTAAATAAAAGGCAAAGGACTATAGGGGGTATATAGGAGTAGAAGAGTATATATTGGATTGTGAGGAAGGCTCTGGGCCTTCTGAGCTTCGGTGGATTCCTGAATCTGACTTACTGGTCATGAGATTCTATTGAACTTTCCAGTGCCTGTTTTTTTTCAGAAGCTGCTGCCTTCGCTGCAGGCGTCTTCATTCATCATGTTCATCTCATCAACTCTGATGCGCAGGCTTTGGCGGGGGGCTGCAGAAGCATAACATATGCGGATGCATAGGGCTTAGGGCTTCCAAAAGATTGAGGTGCCTTTTTTGGGAGTCATTCTGACGATAGAGTACATCGGGGTCCATGTTGGGAGCACCATCTTGCTTGAAACTCCAACCTGAAAACTGCAGGTAAGTCATTTGGGGCCCCTGAACACCCTCAAGTGAACCTACTTGGCACTTCGCAATTATACTCATACTATAACCCCTATAAGCCACATAGCAACACCGATTATCCCCTGAGGAGAACCTTCAGGCCAAGCTTCACTGCTGGGGCAACTCCGGCCAATCGGCCGCCCAGAGATACTCGGAGTACATCCCAATCTGAGCTAGAATTTCAAAATCTAGGGTTAAGGGTTCAGGGTATAGGGTTTTGGGAGGCGTCCAGGGACAACTCTTCCACATTTGCAAAAGACGTCGAAACGCTCGCATTTCCTTCGGGCAACACAAAGCATACAAGGTTGCAAGTATGTCCAGGCTGACAGTCTTAGGGTCTTCGTGGTCTGGAAATGCGCCTGCACAGCTACCGGAAAGCTCTGCGCCCTTTAGAACTCACTGACCTCGAGACCTACCAAATTCCCTCAAGGCTTGCTCTTGAGGGCTTCAGGTTCTAGAGTTGAAGGTTCGGGATGTAAAGTTCACAGTTCGTTCAGAATTCATGCTTTAGCCGTACCTGTCACGGTTTTCGACCACTCCACGAAATCCCTTCTCCCGCTTAGAGTACAATATACAAGAAAGGCACAGAGAAGCCTCTCTCTGGGCACCTAGCACACCTGATCCGGGATGAAAGAACCCTAAACCCGCCTAAACTCAAAAAAAATTGGCTCAAGAGCCTCAAGGTTTCGAGGGCTCGAATTTTCTGGATGCCAGGTCTTGCGCTCTGGGTCGAGCAGATTGAATGTAAGGATTGGCCTTTCATACCTTCTACGCAAGATCACCTAAGGGCGGGTATTATCCACAATAATGGAGAATCAAATAAAAGGGACAAGAAAATAAAGTGAAGTGGACACTAGGTGAGGTTAGGGATTACAGGTATAGCATCGCTGGGCGGCAATCATGCTGATGTTGGTCGCGCACGCGACAAGCCGACAAACTCCCCACCAGCCAGAGATCGGCGCCTCCTGCAATCGTCACATAGTCACATCCACGAAGGAAAACCAAATGGCAAAGAAAATATAAACTGAAATGGCCACAGGGTCTACGCAGGGGCTTATAGGGACAATTACCAAAACAGCATCTTCTTTGCTGAAAGCACTGAAACACAAGCAGATGGCAACGGAAAGCAAAAAAAAAAAAACATAAATCAGGGTTACCAAAAACTTGCAAAGAAATCCGAGAGGAGAGCGCCGAAAGATATCCTAGAGTGCAAAATAGTCCGGAGGACGCAGGCAACTGGAACTTCAGCAACATGGTGCGACCAAATGCTTCCGAACCAAGGGCAGTCCCCATACAAAGAATAAGTCTGAGAACCTCAGCTTCCGTTGACGGAACCTGTTGCGTGAGATTACATGATTATATATGAAGCTTGTATAGTCCAACAGTGCCCGTAGAGGGGAATCTGCCTTCAAAAGTGCAACACTAGTGCTGCCCGCAGCATTGGAGTGCTGCGGCAGGAGAACAGAAACCGTTAGCTCCACACGCTTTGCATCTGGGAATCCCTTGACCCAAATACTGATACAACTGCTGCTGCTGCTGCTGCTGCTGCTGCTGCTGCTGCTGCTGCTGCTGCTGCTCTCCTAACTATTACTATTATATTGGTCCCACAACGTAATGTCAAAGTCCTGTACTCCCCTCATGAGGGACCTTGACCGGCAGCATCTTCTCGACGGCTTCTGCTGCCATCTGCAAACGAGACTGACCTCCTTAAGAGATCAGGCCTTCTATGCGGCTTGGAGAGTCTGTTGCACTAGAACAGATGTTGGGAAGGCTAATTTTAAGAGCAAGTATAGGAACCAGCTGTCTTGTCGCTTGGCCTTATCTGAGTCTCTGGGCGCAGCAGAACAAGTTCCCGCCAGGCGCCGAAGAAATGACAAATTGAGTAGACAACAACTCTGAGTCCGATTCTGTAGCTTTAGTAATGCAGTGCATGGCAAGCTGTCCCTACAAGATGTTCTCCTGGTGTGCCTTGGGCCAAGTCTGAGGTCTTGCGCACGCATGCTGGACCTAGGGTCACTGTTGATGGAGGTCTTGCAGCACGTAGGGTTCCTGTATCGCGCAGGGTACAGCCCAGAATGTTGGTAGTGTCCACATATTTGTTTTCTTGCTGATAGTTCTGGAGGCTGCCACAGTGAGCGAGTGAAATGCTGCTTCAACTCGAACCAGGTCATTTTGCATGATCTTGCATTCCGAGCTGTAAGCTCCCTGTGCCAACCTGCATAAGCCGGAATCCTCACTGCGAAGTCCCAAACCATAAGATCATACACCACCCTAACTGCCCTCCATCCTAGCCATCACTGTAACTGCGAGCTACCCCACATGCTGAACCGGGAGACATTCCAGAGCACATCACAGGCGTATATGCAATATATGTCTTACCGAACCTGCAAGCATGGCGCGCCTCTCAATGGAACTCTTGTCTTGTTACATAGGAGTTATTTTGGGATAATGGGAACTACTGTAATGGAAAACCAAATGGAAAAGAGAATGCAAATGAAATGGAAATTAAGGATTATATTATATGAGCTATCTTGGATCACTCAAGTCAGCACAGAGCTTGCATTTGAAAATGCCAAGTGTACTAAATCCTAAGCACCTGGGTGACCATTTCCAGTCAAAACAGTGACTGGCACAAACACTGGAAGAAACCTCATACAGACTGGCAACACAGCCTAACACCTTAACCCAAGGACATCCCAAGCATAGGCTCTGACAGCCAAAATCTCACCCTCAAGCCTGAACGCTAGCAGCGCAATAGTAGCAGTAATGGGAATGGTGATGGAAATCGAAGTGGCAATACATGTCCAACCAACTCGAATAGAACCCTAATAAAACCCCAAAATTAACCTCAATATAGCCCAAATATGACCTCAATATAGCCCAGATATAACCCTAAGATAACCCCAAGATAACCCTAATATGACCCCAAAATAACCCTGATATAACCCCAAAATAACCTCAATATAGCCCAAATGGGTTAAAGGGACCCTAAACCCCAAACCCTCAAACCCTAAACCCCAAGGGCTCTGGAAGTAGACTAAGCTTCCCAGCCTGGGTCAGGGGCTTGCCCCGCACAGAGCCGTCCTCCTGCAAGCACTGTTTAACAAGGGCACTGGGTTTAGGCGTTTAAGGGTTTAGGGTTTAGCCCCCCCAAAAACCTAAAATTCGGCGGGTCGAATGATAGCTATGGGGCTGATAGGGAACAAAATCCTCCTGTTACTGGTAGGCTTGGTTTAAGAACCTGAACATAAGGTATCATGATGTGGATAAGGGCTCATGGAGCTTCTATGAAAGGTAAAGAAGTGGGTTTATGGGGTTTTGTGCTTAGGTTCTGTGATTTGGATAGATAGCAAATAGCCAGGTAGCTTCAACTAACTTCCTGAACAGCAACCCAGTAGGGCCCAGGCCCCCAGGAAGTTTTCGCTTTATGGTCCAGTGCCTATTTTGTGGATTTCTCCTATTTCTCCAAGCCCAGAAGACTTCCTTTTTCTGGTGTCCACCACTGCGACTGTGGCTAGCTCCCCTTGCTGACATTCCTCTTGAACATAAATAGTCTCAGTGCGACACAGGAATCAGCTAGACGGGAATGCACGACAGCCTCATTATCAGATATTCTCAGTGCCTAGCCCAGAATGAATTAGACAAGAAATGCCGGACACCTGGCAAATCAAGCCCGTTGCAAAGAAAGATGCTCACCAGGGTCCGACCCCTCACTGAAACAGGCAAAGGAACAACGGCAAAAACACTACGACACATTGCATCAAATATGTTGTTTTCATACGTACCAGAAAATAAACAGCACTGCCACAGTTCTTGCAGCGGCGGCTGCACTAGCGGCGGTGAAGATGGTAGCATCAATCGTCTAACCAACTAAACCCTAAACCCTAAACCCTAAACATCCCTAAACCCTAAACCCTATACCCTAAACCTAACTATGCTTGCTTTGGAGGCGCGCCCTATCAGCTTTGCCGTTTCGAACGTCCAGCCAGCGGGAAGTAACGGGGCAATACCTTCGAGGTTAGAGCTGCAGGGCCACAGGGTTCTACTGGGTTGCTGTTAAGGAACTCAAATTAAGTTACCATAATGGGTTTAGGGTTTAGGATTTAGTTAAGTTACTATATTATCCCCCT